CTAAAAGGGGAGGAAAATACCAAAAGGTGAGGAGAACTGAAAAAAGAGTTGAAGGACGGAAGCGAGAAATAAGCTTAAGGAAGTAGGAGAAGCATGAGAAGGAAGGGGGGAAAGGAAGGAAGGAAGTATCGCTGGATGAGGAAGTAAAAGGAGTAAAACAGGAAGTAGATGTGTGGAAAAATAATGTTAGTCGACGTTAAATTTGCATCTGAGGTTTTTATCTAGAATTTTTCCTTTGAGAAGAGCAAATAATTTCCATTTTTAAAATAAATGGTTACATATAAAGTTACGTATTAATATCCTGTTGAGTTGTGGATTTAATTTGCTCAGGCTGACGACTCACATTAGCTTTCATAGTTCTTCCAGGGGTGAATGTGCTACAGTGCTCTGGCCTTTGTCATTGGCCTGTGAAACACCTGCCAGGTGACTCCTCACACCCGTTCAGTCAGCTGTTTGAGTCGCCCGCAACTTCCTCTGTCACCCTCCTCCGGTTTCTCTTTCTTTGTCTTTCTCTCTGGCTGCTGATGCGCTTCCTGCTTTGACTCATCATTCACGCCGTTTAAAAAAAACAGAAAACTCCTCCTTCATGCGGCGCTTTGCAAACTCTACTCAGTGTATCGACGAGCTGTCAGGGCTGTAGAGGACTGAGTCAGGGTTTACAAATGCTGACACAAGGTCACACCACACCTGAAAGGTAAAGGAGGAGGCACGCCCCACACCCTGTGCTTATGTATACTGTTGCATGCACAGAAAAGCCAACGCTTCCATGCTAACTCGAGCCTTTACTTGAGCTGGCACGGATACTTGCAGAGGAGAAACTGAGATCATGTGTTATTTAATGACGTCGTCATATAAGAGAGCAAAGCACCTCCTTACCTGGTACTCGCATGCATGTACCCACGCCTCGCTACCGAAATGTGGGAAAGAGATGTGGTTCTTCACATGAGCGAGCATCATTTCATATCCACAGTGTTACATTTTTAGGGATGTAAAAATGTGGCCGATAGCCAGCTGTTACAGCAGAGCTTGTACCTGACGTTGCCGCACTCCTGAACAGTGCCACATGGCAAAAGTGACGCCACATCCGCCGTCACAAGCCACACTGTGGTCTCCTTTGAGCCACGCAGTCGTGCACCGCCTTGGTTTTGTAACCTCGAGTGGGTGCCGTGGATTGAAATGCAAAAGTATGATCGTTCTGGTTTTCGATGATACATCGGCACAGAAGACTTTCTGGAAAAATCTTTGGAGAGAAAAACGATCTTTGTTCCCGGTTTTAACTTCTCCTCCACCTCCTTTCCCAGTGCTGATGGGGAGGTTTCGACTGTTGTCTTTTTGTCTTGTTTGGAGCGACACTTCAAACATCCCTTTCTGCTCGTTCTCGGCCCCAAACACCGGTTTGCTCCAGTTCCCGTTCAAATTGTTTTTCGTGATCAGGAGTCTTTTTAAATGAGGACAGATTCAACATCGCCAACTCAAGGAACTGGATGCCAAAACCGATGGGAGACAACAGATCAACATCGACCGCTGCCACGGTGATGTCATCTTGTTTACTTATTTGTTGATGGCTGTAAACAAGACAAAAGCAGATACCAATGGTCAGCCAATAAACGGGCGCATCGCTACAAATGGTGTTTAAAGTCTACTGATTTACATTTTGGTGGTTTTGAATGGAAATCTGTCCATAATCCTGCCAGTGATGCAGAGGTGATCAGCACAGATGAGCCGAACGTTTTACTGTAAAATATAGTTCATGCGTCACGGTCTCTTTCTTTGTGTCTTATTTCCTCCGTTCTCCTTCCATCACTGCTCGCTGTCTGCTTCTCCCTGGAAACAAAAAAACATAACATACATCTCCATCCTCTTGTTTCTATAGCAACGCAGCAGAGCGGAGAGGAGATGAGGAGCCGTAGCCTCCTCCAGCCCTTCTCCGTGATGAGAAGCACAACAGAAAGAGACAGAATAAGCCAAAAAAAAGAAAAGGAGAGGTTTGGGAATAAGATGTAAAAAAGAAAGAGGAGGACTGAAAGAGGAGGAGAGGGAGAGGAAAGGGTAGAGAGAGGCAATCAGTGCTCGCTCTTGTGCAGGAAGGAGTATCTATGGTAACCTCGGCCGGTTATCAGAAAATTGAAGTCTCCTCTGTTTGTCTCCGTTCTGCTCTCCCTCTGCCTATTCAGAAATGCATTTATCGTCTCCTTTAGCTCCCGGCTTCATATTCTCCTCTTAATGTTGCAGTTCATCTTGTTAGTGTGTCATGTGCGTGCAAAAAACCACCGCAAACACTATTTGGCAGCTTTGAGACATGCAGACGGAGAGGCGGAGGGATGGACAGAGGCAGGGGCTGAGGTTTACTCTTCCGAGGAAATGAGACATCTTGCCCAGAACCAATATTTGCCGTGGACGTCGTCTGTAATGAAAATCCCGCACGGGTGCAGGCGCACAACAGGTATCCTGTGTGCGGGGAGGCGGGGTTACACCGAGAAGCCAGCTCACCCATCGGTCGTGGAGGGAGGTGTAAATAAAGGAATAGCATGTACGTTCTTCACCGAGGGTGGGGTTGGCGGAGCTGTTTGTTTGCTCTATAGAGAGAGATGGACGAGAACCACCTGTCTGCCCGAGCGGGCTGCAGAGGGACGCCAGGCGTCTGCTGCTGCTGCTCTCGTGTAGCTGCTCAGATGTGTTTGTGTTTACTGGAGCTGCAGACGTGCTGTTTATCTGTGTGGAAGCACACGCAGGGAAGAAGATGCAGTGGAGTCATGGAAGGATGGGCCTTGTATACTTTTAAAGTCACTGTTAACAAATGTCTCTGGAACACTAAAAAAAGAGAGCGAGAGGCCCCACGTACAGAAAGAGTGAAAACACAGCTGCAAAGGCAAACGCCACAAAGCTACACATGTTCAGCTCATTCAGTCCGTTTTATTTAGACTGTGCCTGTTCACTGCAGCGCTCGTCCTTAGGTGCTTTAAAGACTTCAACTGGAGACAGAACCCAAATGAACAGGCGGGAAGATCCTGTACTGGAACCAAAGCAGGAAAGAGAACAGAGGAGCCAGACGACGGCACGCAGTAGTGCTTTGTAAAAGAACGAGGGGCGGATTGAAAGCGCTCAGAGCATCATGGGAGGTCTCACAGTGGCCTGGGCGTATGGTTCAAATTCACCTGAAAATCAAAGGATGACAAAAAAAGGCCTAAAGATGACTACAGGGAGGTTGATGACATCCGGAAAAGGCTTCTTTGTCACAAGTTGTTACGAGCACACTGATACCAAAGCATGTGTTATTGTAATCAGATAAGAGCAGATTTTCCTGGGATTTCATCAGAAACATTATCTGAGGGGCAGATGTGGCGCTCGCAGAGGCCTGAACTGAAACGTGTAGATTTACTCTTCCAGTGAGCGCTGAAATGAAATGAATAATGCTTCTGCTGCCCACCAACGATGTCTGTTTATGTGGCGTTTCTCAGTTATGGTTGAATAGTTTAACTGCTGCATTATTTGTGCTTTAAAAGAAGAAAAGGTGGCTCGAGTTAAGCTTCCTGTATCTGCCCGCCTGCACTTTTATGTTATTAATACAATAAACAGGAAAAAAAGGAGGGGGTGTCCTTAACTTTAGCCCATCTCAGTCAGGTGGGCAGCTACATGTGTGCTACTATATTTACATTGTTACTACTGATACATAGACCTGGTTACTGCATTATTAAACCTACGTCTGACGGAGCAGATCAGCTGTGGTTCTTTCCCAGTTTCATTCTCAGTCAGCAACACGCCAAATAAAGCAGGTCAGCTACAACACTTTAGTCACTTCTCTCTTTAGATGCCAAACTTCATGACGTTTTTGCAAACCCGGTGTTTTGCAATCAAGTCACCGCGAGAAAGCCAAAATGGAAGTTGTAATGTGTTATCTGTGTTTAACCACTGGCATAAAAACTCAATCTGTACAGTTTCACAGATTACAGAAATGGCTTTCAGAGCGGGACGTCCTGTATGTGTGACGAAGTTGCTCCCAGTGAAACTTTTCACACTCGCTCTGCCGCCCTGAGAGAAAATGTTGCCTCTCCACTCTGTGTTTTCCAAAGTTTCTGAAGGGAAATGGCCTCAGAAAAATGAAAAGCAAAATAAGGACGATAATTCCAGCAGAGCTATGCAGAGAAAGCCACTACAGATGACGTCCACTCGGGCCATTTGTGTGGATATACAGTTAATCTTGCCATCGACAATAATTGGTCGAAAATCACGCAGTGACGCCGGCGTCTGGGAAATCAGCTGATGATTCATTTGCATCTGTTTCTGCAGTGCTGGCCGACACTCGTCTTATTTTAGAGTGGCATTAAACATTTCTCTTCAAGCTCCTCCTGCGGGTTAGAAGATATACAGGCTCGGTTTCCTTGTGGCTTTCTCTCAGCCTCGTTATTTTTATCTGCTTGGCTCCCCCCGCCTCCCTTTCTCTGAAGACTCTTCTGTTCCTGAGTCCGGAAACTTGTGGTCATTTGTCAGCGTTTCTGTAATCATTTTGAGACTAGCAAACGGGTTGTGGCGTGTTACTCGTGTGCACTGCGATGAGACTGCGATCAGAGCTCTGCCATCGCACCAAAGGGCCTTTTCCTGCATGCGCGTTGAGTTAAAGCTCCGCCGTCGTGTCTTTCTGGCTGATGTTTGTGTATTTGCGTGATTAATGGCTTTTGCTAAATTGATTTTCCACTTTGCTCTTGCATTCGGTGAATGTTTACTTGGAACTAAATCAAATGTCACCACAGCTGATAAAGATTACTCTGTGTACTGTTTTCACAGCATTTACCACTCGGCTGTATTTGGAGGTTTTGTTTGGCCTCGTGTTTACCCAGGGCAGGTTAGCCTGGGATATGTTTCTTTTTGTCTTTCCAGCTGACTGCCAGTAAAAAATAAATGCCTTTTTCTCCTCCTGCTTTGTTTAAATATACAATATGTACTGTAAATGTTAGACAGTGGCAGACTAATATCCTCTTGCTCTTTCCCTCTCTCCTCCCCAGCCCACCGGTTACATGGAGACATCATTGCCCTACAGCTCCATAGAGGACCTGCAGCTCCTCTCTTGGGACAATGCCCCAAAGTACTGCGTGCAGCTCAGCTTCCCTGGTGGCACCGTCCTGCTGCAGGTAATTCATTATCATTATTACGACTATTTTCGCCTCCGCCAGGGAGGTTATGTTTTTGGTAGCATGTGTGAGCTGTGAGCAGGGTCGTGTTAACGATCCGTCACACCGAGAGCTTCGAGGTCGGCCGAACGATTTGTTGGTCAAAAAGTGAGAAAAAGACTTAACATTTGGAAACAAGGTTGATGTTGTCAGCATGTAGATATACACTTCATATTTCTAACTAAACATTTAACCAGACTTAACAACAAGTTACCGACCTGACATGTCTTAAAAACGTACAGAGTGTATATTTAAATAGGTTTCAAACAGCAAAAGCGCTGCAAACTTTATAAATACTTTAAAAACAAAGACAACAGAATGAAAATGTAGAAAACTGTTCTCACAAATGTTAATGCTGTCCAGAGAGGTTAGTGGATGTTTTCAGTGTTGCACTGATTGTTGCTCTAATAATTTTAACCTCTTGTGTTCAGCACAATTAGTAAATTACTAAGAGCAAAGTCCTCCGTGCAGCTGAAGTCTCATGAAAACGTAACTCTTTGTCTCCTTCGGAGCGTATCTGTAACTAGGCAGTTTCTGAAACTAGATCAAAACATTGTGGCTGATTTGCACATTCCAGGAACTCACGGTCAAAACACACTTTCCACATCTGGTTGCGTCAGCTTGTCAAATCTGATCTGCCCTATCCTACTACAGATCCTTATTTAAAGGTTAAGTTTAAACTTGATCACAGTTGTACATCAATACAACACTTACTTCACTAAATGACTACAAAGCGACACCGGTGACTCCAGACCAGCTACAGTGGAACAAACCTGGGAGCCGACACCTCTGTGGGCAGCAGCCACATTTAGAGGTGGCTTATGTGGCGTCCAGTGGATAATTGGATCAAGACTCTCTGCTCTGTGCTCTGGTCACTGTTGTTGTTACACAACAGAACGGTAAAAATTATCATCAGGTCATTGATCCTTCTTCTTATTAGGCGGCCATGTTTAAAGCTGGAATAGCATCACTCTGTTTGCGCCCGTCACATTGATTTTCATTTATTTAGTTTCATTATTAGCAAGTATTTCTATGAACAGCTGGAATGTGACAAAAGGTTAAATAATTGCAGATAATTGTGTAAATGCTGTTTTGTTCGTAGCATTGTTAAATGAGTATTTTTACGGTTTTACGCAGTCTGAATTTACCTCGATCTTTAACTTATTAAAGCTTGTCTGTCTGCTTTGGCTTGGGACAACACAAGGTCCTGTCTTTGGCCTGTCGCTCCATGTACCTGCTGAACTCTGAGAAAATTTCATTTCAGCATTAACCAGAGCCGCTCAGGGGGCACATTTAGTACCGTTACCCATTAGCCCAATTACCTTGGATACACAGCTCGGCCTATGATTGGTGCTGGGGGTCAACAGTGAATGTCAGCCTCTTCAGCTGTGTTTGCTTGTGCCTGCTGGCCTTCTTTGGACCACCGCCCGATGCTCCCACTTTGAAGCTTTGCTGGTCGTGGAACGCTGGCAAACCTGGAATAAATCTTCAGCTATGTAAAGAACACTGACGTGCATTTAGTGTTTAGTGGATGGATGGTAGATTTGAAGGTCAAGTTGATGACTAGAAACCCCAACCTGACGCTATATTGTAGGTTAAGCTGAAGCAGGCAGGTACTCATGAGCACCAAAGGCTGTAATTGTACTGTACTTTACTATATTTAAGTACTCTAGTACTTGACTTGCCCCAACATCTGCTTTTAATACAAAATCAACAAACTGAAAGCCTAGCTGTTTCACTGCACAGAAACTGTTCCTTTAACTGTTGTTTAGCATCTCTTTGTGGTCATGTTGCGCTGCATGCAGTGTTTCTGTGCGTGATCTTTTTGATTTCTGGTTGTGTGTGCGGTTGTATGTTTGTCTAAACATACAACCGTGTGTGCGGTTGTATGTGGTTGTGGTTGTTCCTGGTACGTACTGTACCAGGAACAACCACAAAGGCAGTTTGTGTAGCACACAGCATGATAGCGCTGCGCAAATTAACAAAGTAGTTTGAAGTAATAATGTCGTAACAGTCGCTCATGGGTTGGGTCGGCACATTGTGTAAGTCGAATACCTAAAAAAGGTTTGAACTCTTTCTAAACGCGTAGAGATGAATCCAACGCCGGAGCTCATCCGCGTTCACGTTAAGCTGCTGCAAGCACGGCGGCGTTTCAACGTTTCGTGATATCCTGAGTATTTATCACCTTTTTTTCCTTTGACTTTTTTGTCAATATCTATTTTATCCAATAAGATAAAGTTATCTCACTGCAGTTATGTATTTCCTGTTAAATGAGATTGTCAGGCTGTCAACACTGTTGCTAAAACCTGCCATAAGTGTTGCCATAAGACAGAGTCAATATATCAATCTGTGATATCAGACTGCGATGGAATGGGGTTGGAAATAACATGCAATCAGTTTCTGATAATACAGCAATTAATGACCATCAGGGATGACAGCTTAGGCGACGATTCTTTGTGTCGTATTTGTTGGAGGTTTGTCAGTTGAGCTGGTTTAATGTGAGTTTGTGCGATGTGTCACGATGGGGGTGCACGAGATGAGAGTATTTTAATTTATTTAATAAAACATCCATATTTGGTGTCCTTCCACTGAGATGATATCACCAAGCAAAATATTTGCGATTTGAAGCCACGGCTCTGTTTCTAAAGACACGAGTGGAACGGTCTCACTGTGGACGCCATCAACTTTATCAGGAAGTCCGACATGTCCAGTTATTACATTTTTATTCTAGTTAAAAGACTTTAAATTAGACTAGATTACTAAGATTACAATTACTTTGATTACTTAGAGATTTCTTGGCAGATGCACAGAGTGGTTGTTATTATTAACTGTGCATCTGACAGTTGCAGCACTGCAAGTTTTTGATATTGTTTTAGCAGCTCTCTGACCATCAGGTTTGCTTTCATGGGTGCATTAAATCTGTTTCTCTTCTTCACAGCGCAGGAGTCTTTAATAAAACTGTAGATCTGGTCATTTAATGCTGGCTAAAAGGTGAACTTGTGACTTTTTGCACAGCAGCAAAAGTTTGTCTCAGGATATACTCGAAATCATTTGACATTTTGCGCGTGTGTGTGTGTGTGTGTGTGTGTGTGTGTGTGTGTGTGTGTGTGTGTGTGTGTGTGTGTGTGTGTGTGTGTGTGTGTGTGTGTGTGTGTGTGTGTGTGTGTGTGTGTGTGTGTGTGTGTGTGTGTGTGTGTTGCTGCAGGCTGCAAACAGCTACTTGAGGGACCAGTGGTTTCACTCCCTGCAGTGGAAGGTAAGGTCACTGTTTTTTCTTTCTTTAACTATGAATTCAATCATTTCTTCAGCCTCATTAAAGCTGCAGCCTTCACCCTGTCCTCCACTTTGTAAAGATTACCACACACGGTGACATTTACTGCAGAATTATCATCTCAAAACATCAGAAATGGGTGTTTATTATTGCACACCTTTCCCCAACCCCACACAGCATTTTATAGCACTTCATGGACCTTTATGAGGACCAGACCTCTAAACCTGTCAGGTCTGAATCCATGCTGTGCTCACAGAGCTAAATAAAGCTGTACAAGGAAGTATGCCTTAGTACTTGCAATGACTTCTGCACTGTACAAATGTTTCAGGTTAGTGTGTGACACACACGTTTCCTGGGACACCTTTAAAATAAAAGTCCAACACAAACACGGAGGAAACTGTGACAAAGGAGGACCAACGAGACAAAAACCACTTTTATATTATTTCCTAATGATTTGTGTCTGCTTTGCTTATCATTGTCATACGTTTATTTGGCTTTTTTTTAGGTGTTTTGTACATTTTTTCCTTTTTTTCTTGGCTCCATCCAACTATGAGGAACTTTTTGTCTCTTTGTAGCTGTTCTGTCTCTCTTTGCGGTCTGTGTCTTTCCACAGTTGTTTTCTTTCTGTGTATTTTTTGTGTGTGAGCTTAGTTTTTTTCTTTCTTTGCATATCTTTGCAGTTCCTTTTGTCTAAAGGTGGATTTACGGTCTTGGATTTGTATCCATTTGCATAAGTATTTGCCTGCGGACAGCCTCGCGCACCTTCGCCAACATGTAGTAGCTGTTTGTTGTCACCAACAGTGGCACAAACAACCATCTGTGGGTTGGTGTTGCTTGTGCTTTAGTGGGTCAATAAGTTGCAGAAGAGCGAAGTTCAAATGTAGAAAAAGCTGAAGTTAAACTGAACATTTAAAAACGATAAAAAGCATTCGCTGCTCTGTTGTCTGTGCTAAACTCAGCTGTCACTCAGCTACATCATCGAGCTATGTGGCTGTTTTTTCTTTGTTGGAGCATTGTACACAAGCAGTTTTCCTGGGCCCTCCAAAGGCAAATACCTGTGCAAACAGACACAAACGCAGCACCCTGATGTGTCATGTGCAGTCCTGCGGCCTTTGGGCCGGTGCTCAGCTGTTCATCGCATCGTTTCTCCTGCAGAAAAAGATCTACAAGTATCGCAAGGTCCTAAACAACCCGAGTCGCTGGGACGTGGCGCTAAAGGAGATCAGAGCGCTGGTGGACATGGCTCTGACCTCACCGCTGCAGGATGAATCCATCCACCAAGCTCCACTGCACATCATCTCCACCCTGCTGGCTGAGGTAGCACACTCACTCGTGTTGCGTGACATTGCTGTGATGATGTCGTTTCCTTTAAGGTGGAGAGCTTCCATCGTTAGACGTATTGTTAACTCCGTACTCATAATTAGTTCTTCCTTATTTTTGATTTTTTCCTTTGCAGAACTCAAACCTCAGTCCTCAGGATCATGAAAACATCATCGTGGTAAGTTTGCTGTCACTGTGCACTAAACTGATATTTAACAAGTTTATTAATCGTTAACAAGCTTCAGTTGCTTTGCTCGTTAGACTGAAGAATATAGATTGTCCCCGTGTCTCTCTTTATGCTAGATTTTTTTTATTTGTGTGTTTTCGACCGTGGCGGTCGATACCCACGCGGTGGTAACTGGGCAGAGCAGGGGGAGCTTGATGCTTAGGGAAATTGCAATGTTTGTGTAGCTCACCTGTGGCCTGTTTTCACACAGCTCCTTCACCTGACAGCATGCTGGCTCTGGGCCTGTGTAAATAAGAGATATGATATGGAAATAGTCACCTGTATGTGTGCGTTTGTGTGTGTACATGTGTGTTTGTGCAGGCCATCGCTCCTCTTCTGGAAAACAACCACCCTCCACCTGATCTGTGCGAGTTCTTCTGTAAGGTGAGCTCTTGTGCATCGGATGCTGAACACGTTTCTTCTGTCGTAAATATTGCAAATAATTAAAAGCGCTTCCTTGTTGACGCCCGTCGATCTCGTGTGTTGCAGCACTGTCGGGAGCGACCGCGGTCGAGCGTTGTGATCGAAGTGTTCACTCCTGTGGTTCAGAGAATCCTCAAACACAACATGGTGAGATCGGCTGAGTCCAGTACCGCTTTTCTGCACAGCGCCGTTTTTATCTTCTTCTTATTTTAGAATTCTTAAAGTAATTTTTTAGGAAGCAGAAGATTTTGCAAGACCAGTGATTCCCAGCAACGATAGATCTGCTGTAAAAATCTTTACTGGTTCCACGTAGCCCACCTCCCCTTTTGATGACTGTTTATTGCAGGCAGTTTTGTGTTTTTGGCTGCAAATGCCACATTCCTGTGGCGTCTTAACCCTGGGAGCTTTCTGTTAGCTGTTTGGTGCTGTGTTGTAATTTAACGTCGTATCACCCACCAGATCATCTGTGACCCATCTAAGGTTAGGGTTGGACTGTGTTTTGACGTCATGCTAAATTGGTAAATATTGAGAAATCCCTCAGAGACCGTTAGCTTTCAAATTAAGGGTTTCTGCAGAAGCATTTCCATGCAGGCAGAAATATATTTCAGACTTTGTAAATGTTAAAAGGTTAAAGTACTTTGTTCTCTGTGGTTTTCTCTGTTTCCACTGGAAAAATCTGATCTCAGTGGATGACGACGCGCATTTTGCTCAATGGGAGAGTTTAAATCCGTCTGCTGTCTTCAGTTCTGTGAGAATTTAAAAAGCATGAATGAATGAATTGCCATGTAAAGTTCCCACAAGTGTCCATAAAGTCCTGTACAAGCCCTTGGTTCATGAGCAGCAACTTAATAGATAGAAATGGTGATTAAGTAGAAAGAGCACGAGAGATGTAATCAGTGTGAGTCTCATCTGTCAGTGGCTCTCATAGAGAAACCTAAATTCTAGTTGTCTTTAATAAACGTGTATGCAGTAGCTAATGAGAATAAGAAAAGTTTTTATTTCTGCATATCCTTTATTCATCATTCAATTTTGTATTTTGGATGATATATTCCTAACTCTGCTTTTGGCTGTTGCTGACAGGATTTCGGGAAGTGTCCTCGTCTGCGTCTCTTCACTCAGGAGTACATCCTGGCTCTTAATGAGCTCAACGGTGGAATGGAGGTGGTCAAGAAGTTTATTCACAGGTGAGCATGTGCTGCTATAAATCTGTAATCCGTGACTCAATAACTTCAGACTACAGCCTCTATTTAAAGATGCAGTGAGGTGGGATTTAATTGCTCTGGAGGCCACAGCTGTAGCTCGCGGTTAGGATGGCAGGATGTTTAAAAAGGGGGAAAAACGTTTTTGGGGCATTGCCTTCAATACTGGGTAAACATGCTGCGCAGACCAAAGCCAGACCAGTCTACTGGAAACCAGAAATAAGGCTACGGCGAGCCTGAGAGAGGCCGTGTGTTCAGCTGAGCTTTATTGAGATGAAAGTTTTAAGAAAAAGAGAAAAATGTTGCCAAACCATCAGATTGTAATTTGCCTGAACACTTGGACAGTTATTTATTTATTATTATTTATTTTATCAATAATATAACATCGAGTTTGATGACACTGAGTGTGTGTGAGGTGTGTGTTTCTTGTCCACTTGTCCTCGTGGTAGGAACTGGGCACCAACTCTACAAGCTCTTTGAAATCTCATAATAGACAATATAATAACACATAAGTAGCACATTAGTTTTTTATTTGAATGATTCACAATCCAAGAGGAAGTGAATATAATTTGAAGCCAAAGGCTGTTGGATAAAATGCAGCACACTGCAGATATTTCCCGTACGCAAGGAGGAACTGAATCTGTGTGAAAACCAAAGAGCGGTAGGCCAGCAGTTCAAAGTAACAGGCCAGCATGACCTTTCTCCTCACTGCGTGAGACAAGCCACTCACTTTTACCAACCTCTACACTTCCTGGAACTGCCGACTAGTATTTTGAGCCAAATCGGTAGCATTTCTGAGCTAACACCGTCATTGTCTTGTCCTTATCATCTCCAGCGTGACAGGTGTAGCCCGCTACACTCATAGTAGAATCACTAGCATTCCTAGCTATCCTTTACAGGTCACTAGTGACTGGCATTCCTAAAGAATTCAAGTATACAGTGTTTTGTTTAAGTGCAGGTGAGGCTGTACCCCCAGAAAGCTCGTACACAGTTACCATGTACAGGGAGTGCAGAATTATTAGGCGAATGAGTATTTTGTCCACATCATCCTCTTCATGCATGTTGTCTTACTCCAAGCTGTATAGGCTCGAAAGCCTACTACCAATTAAGCATATTAGGTGATGTGCATCTCTGTAATGAGAAGGGGTGTGGTCTAATGACATCAACACCCTATATCAGGTGTGCATAATTATTAGGCAACGTCCTTTCCTTTGGTAAAATGGGTCAAAAGAAGGACTTGACAGGCTCAGAAAAGTCAAAAATAGTGAGATATCTTGCAGAGGGATGCAGCAGTCTCAATATTGCAAAGCTTCTGAAGCGTGATCATCGAACAATCAAGCGTTTCATTCAAAATAGTCAACAGGGTCGCAAGAAGCGTGTGGAAAAACCAAGGCGCAAAATAACTGCCCATGAACTGAGAAAAGTCAAGCGTGCAGCTGCCAAGATGCCACTTGCCACCAGTTTGGCCATATTTCAGAGCTGCAACATCACTGGAGTGCCCAAAAGCACAAGGTGTGCAATACTCAGAGACATGGCCAAGGTAAGAAAGGCTGAAAGACGACCACCACTGAACAAGACACACAAGCTGAAACGTCAAGACTGGGCCAAGAAACATCTCAAGACTGGTTTTTCTAAGGTTTCATGGACTGATGAAATGAGAGTGAGTCTTGATGGGCCAGATGGATGGGCCCGTGGCTGGATTGGTAAAGGGCAGAGAGCTCCAGTCCCACTCAGACGCCAGCAAGGTGGAGGTGGAGTACTGGTTTGGGCTGGTATCATCAAAGATGAGCTTGTGGAGCCTTTTCGGGTTGAGGATGGAGTCAAGCTCAACTCCCAGTCCTACTGCCAGTTTCTGGAAGACACCTTCTTCAAGCAGTGGTACAGGAAGAAGTCTGCATCCTTCAAGAAAAACATGATTGTCATGCAGGACAATGCTCCATCACACGCGTCCAAGTACTCCACAGCGTGGCTGGCAAGAAAGGGTATAAAAGAAGAAAAACTAATGACATGGCCTCCTTGTTCACCTGATCTGAACCCCATTGAGAACCTGTGGTCCATCATCAAATGTGAGATTTACAAGGAGGCAAAACAGTACACCTCTCTGAACAGTGTCTGGGAGGCTGTGGTTGCTGCTGCACGCAATGTTGATGGTGAACAGATCAAAACACTGACAGAATCCATGGATGGCAGGCTTTTGAGTGTCCTTGCAGAGAAAGGTGGCTATATTGGTCGCTGATTTGTTTTTGTTTTTGAATGTCAGAAATGTATATTTGTGAATGTGGAGATGTTATATTGGTTTCACTGGTAAAAAGAAATAATTGAAATGGGTATATATTTGTTTTTTGTTAAGTTGCCTAATAATTATGCACAGTAATAGTCACCTGCACACACAGATATCCCCCTAAAATAGATAAAACTACAAACAAACTAAAAACTACTTCCAAAAACATTCAGCTTTGATATTAATGAGTTTTTTGGGTTCATTGAGAACATGGTTGTTGTTCAATAATAAAATTATTCCTCAAAAATACAACTTGCCTAATAATTCTGCACTCCCTGTAGTCCTCTAGCATCAGCTTAGAGGACGAGTATCGTTAGACTCACACTGGATTTAGATAAGTTGCAAGTCGTCCTCTGACCTGCACGTTTGCTTTGCAGCATGCACGGGCCCACAGGCCAGTGCCCTCACCCACGTGTCCTGCCAAACCTGGTGGCAGTGTGTCTGGCTGCCATTTATTCCTGTTATGAGGAGTTCATCAACAGGTCAGTCACGCCCATATCCACACGCAAACAGTATCTGCTTCTTCTTCTGCTTCTTGTCTTTTCCCTGAACTCATTTAATAAACGCTTACTCGTCTTACCACCTTCACATTCGTCCTTCTCTTCTTTCCAACTCTCACTCAGCCTGTACGCTTGTTGTTGCATCATCTCAGAGTTTTCATTTTGCACTTTTTATACTAGAGAAAGCTCACTGCACAGCATTCATCGAGAGTATTTACACCATTGCTTCTAAGGCTCCTTTTTGCTGCTGTTCCAGCAGAAGGGTTATTCTGTTGTTTGCCTTCACGTTGTCATTGATTAGACAAACACATGACTGGTAATTTCCCACATCTTGTAGGACTAATATGAAGGAAACGATACAAACACCAATTTGCAGATGTTACCAGGAAAGCAGACGGTAACTGTTTCGATCATCAGACCACATTATGCCATTTATAGCCCTAAACTAATCTGCAATGTTCCAGAGTGCCACAGAAATACATGAGCAATTATATACAAAAGAATAAATGGAAAGTAATTAAATACATAAGCTGATTATGTTTATTAAGAAGAATAACCTGAGGTTTGTTGGGTTCTTGCAGGACTATTCACAGTTTCCAGTTTTGCTTCTTATTAAATGCAGCTCAGTGCTTGTGGATGCTGTGGCATCAGCCATTGGTGTGTGGATTTAACATTCAACATCAGCATTTTGGACTTGGTTTTTATTTATTTTAGAACTATTTTTTTGAAATGTGTCTTTCTGGTGTTTCCCATCTGGACTCTTTGGTGGTTTGACGGGCCCTCTCAGCTCATTATCACCATCCCTTTAGCGCTGTTCACCCCAGAGAGGAGCCACTTTTTCCAAAGCACTAACCCACGAAGGAGCTGTCACTCCAGGAAACATCGCTTCTGCCTCCAGCTGCACCTCACCTGCGTCTCTCATCTGCGCTTACGCTTTTTCATGCACGCTCTCCAGCATGACCGATGTTTTCCTCTCTTGCTCGTTGCAGTCGGGACAACTCCCCCAGCCTGAAGGAAATCCGAAACGGCTGTCAACAGCAGAACGACCGCAAACCCCCGATGCCGCTACGCCTGCTGCGGCCCGAACCCCCAACGCCACCTCCTGCCACCATCCTACCGCTCTCTACCACCCCCAGTCCTCCTCAGCCACCTCCCCCAGCCCCCACTAACCCCGTGGCTCCAACCATCCCCATCTCCTCTCCGACGTCCTCCCTGCCGCTCTCTCCTCCTCCCTCCGTCGTCAACTCCAGCGAGATCCTGGTGGAGCTAGAGCGGAACAACAATTCGGCAAACACCAAGCGGAAGGGCGGGCCGACGAGGGGCGACAGCGAACCCAACCTTATCGACTGTCTGCTGGTCAGCCCGGCCGTCAACACGCTCTCCATCCAGCTGCCGGCGCAGGCTGACCGAGTGCTGGGCTGCTTCGCTCTCATCCTCAAGATGCTGTGAGTTAATGCGTCAGTGCTGTAGCACGCCAAAACCATTTTTCTCCGGGTTGACAGGGTGACACTGACTCTGTGTTCTTGCTTTGTGACTGTAGGTCAGACTATGACGACTGGAGACCTGCTCTGGCCAGCCTGCTGCAGCCCATCCCCTTCCCTAAAGAGTGAGTGTTCATCATAGATAATGTAGCATATGTTGCACGCTGCAAATATAATAGGATATGCAAATTTAAAAAAACCAGATAAATCCACCATGATGTCACCCAATGGCTTGAGCAGGCTCCATTCATAAACACACAGACACATATTAGCTGAGTGGGGCTAAATGACAGACTAATAAAAAGGAATTTAACTTCTTTTATGTGTGGAATTAAGACAGCGTAGACAGTGAAGACTACACTTCCACATTTCAGCAGATTAAAGCAACTTTAGTATCCAGTTTGATGAAAACACCCACCATCACTTTGCCTTCAGACACCAAACCTTTTCGTACCAGAGCATTCATTTTTCCTCTGTTTTCACATATTCACATTTACTCACTCATCCAGTCATTCATCTTAATCTGAATGACCAAGAAAAAAAGGACAGAACTCGGATTTGGAGAAAAATCTCCAAAAAACGTCTTTTTCTTATTAAAAATGTGTCGAACTATCAAAAAGTATTGTATGAGTTAGAATGCTGGATAATATCATTTATGTTATTAATGATGAAAGACCAAAAAGCACCTTGTGTTCATTGAGGCCACTGAACCTGCGGTCCCCAACCTTATTTGTGCCACGGATAAATACAACAAAATAAAACGATACGACCGAGACAAACTGTGGGATTTTGTAAATATAATAATAAAAGTGAATTCACTGTGTAATTGTGTAACTTTATTAGCAGCGTCCTCCTGAAAATGCGCCAACGACATTCAGAGTAACATCCTCCTCTCTGGTCGCTATGGTAACGCGTAAATATTTCTTTCAAAATAAGACGCGCAGCTACAACAGGGGAAAGAGCCAGGCAAAGCGAGTTAACGATAAAAACGCTGAAAACCATAAATTTCACACCGGAGCCTCAACTCTCGCGGCCCGGTACCAAACGACTCATAGACCGGCCCGGGCAGTGGCCCGGGGGTTGGGGACCGCTGCACTACACAGGGCACTGGGGACTGCTCCAAACAGCAGAGAATTTGGGGTTCCTGCTGTGGGAACGTCAATTAAAACCAAACGTGTGCCTCTGGGGCTGAACAGTGAAGCTGTGCGGAAGCCCAACAAAAACTGCAGTTCCTGTTGTGGCCACTTGAGCCTGGTTCCAAAAACAAGCCAGTCCCCACAGACGCGCTGTCGCTGTCTCTCAGGGTGTGCACATATTTCTGATGAGGACCCGTGGGGGTGTCACTGCTGACGTGGTGAGGTACATTACCGTGCTTCCCAAAGGATCGCAGACTAGGGTGGGGGGCGGATTCCTACCCCCAGCGAGCCCGCTGTTGTTAGGCATAAGTAGCCCAGAGCTGTCTTTGTAATTGGCTGCCTGATCCCGAGCTTCATTAATGGCAACTAGACAACAAGTTGTTGTTTCGTTAACTGGGGAACCCACCTGCGCCACTGTTACCTGGCTGATGTCTTCAGGCGTCATTAGGAAAAGCAACAATATTCCCCAGAACCCTTTAGCTTTGGACAGAGTGAGTCATCTCGTACAAAGTGAGAAGCATATGCATGCAGAGGACTAATTAACACATGACAAGTTGTTATTCACACGTTAATGATTCCATAATTATCATCCCATACTACATGAATAATGCCACGAACAAAGAGGGTTTTTTAATAGCTATATGAAGTCTTTTTAAATAATACTTTTAAATGATATTTGAACTGCTTCACTGTGGGATCTTCTTGCTGTGTTTTCAGTCGTGCTCCCACCGTTTCAAAACGTCTGGAAACACCGCGGTCTGCCAGCCAAAGCTTCTGTGATAGACAAACGAAGCAACGGAAGCTGTTTGGTTAACCGGTGACGCTTCTTTCCACTCGACACTTTTCAGTGACCAGCATCGAAATTCTTTACTGCTAGCCAAAACATGTTTTGTGAGGTCACAGCAACCTTTATCTTTGACCGCCAAGATCTAATCGTTCATCCTTGAGCCAAGTGAATGTTTGTGGCAGTCTGGCAGTCACAGACATGACTTAGATGAGAACGAAACGTTCTCTGTGAAATCTGTTGAATAAGGTGGAAACGGGATGTTTTATGCTGTAAAAACTAACAAATATGTAAACACGAGCTTTCGGTGCATTCCATGTTATTGTGCACCAGCTAATTATAGTCATGGCTATAAGAAAAGACTGTCGGTTGTAAGGATTTATGTATCAGGACATCAGATGCACTTGATTAAGGCTCCATTAAAGCAGAGGCATCGGCAGTTTGCAGTTCTGGAGCAGTCAGGTGTGTGTTAACGTAACGCCAAGGAAGAAAGACATCATCTTAGAGGAGCAACAGTTGCTGTGCATCAATCTCAGAAAGGTTATAAGGCCGTTTCCAAACAATCTGTAATCCATTGTTGTACAGTGAGAAAGATTCATGACAAAAAATCCAAGGCAATCTTCAAAGGCTTAGATAAAAGGTTAAAATACAGTTAATTGAATAAGTCGGGCTTCTTTGGAAGGCCTGCAGGAGAACGCCTCTTCTCTCTGAAGAACATGGCAGCATAGCTCAGGCTTGCAAAGCTACATTGCAGAAAATGATTACATTACTACATTACTAAAGCATTTGAATTAGATTTTGTTTAATACATGCTGGCACAGTGTAACATGTCAGGTTTTCTTGGATGTACTTTCCTAATTTTAAGACCCGTTAAGGATTAGATCATTTATTAAGTGTCGATATGTAAAAATCTTCCAATAGAAAGTTTGTGCTTTCTTTTTACTGTGCTTGTATATTTACAGTGACGCACTGATGAGCACCAACATGGTTTTTCCTAGAAAAATGGCCCTCCGTGTTATGACAACAGTGGGGGGGACGTTCAGTAGCATTGCTCCATCTTTTACAGATGGTCTCTGGTTGTCATTGGCTCCTCACAAGAATCTGATCCACTCTGCAGATCAGAACCTGTGGCATATTTTTATAGAGGAAACGAGTGCGAAGTACACACAGAGTCAAGTAATTCATTCATGACTTTCTGTGCAGTTGTGCATTGTAACAAAAATGCACAGTTGTCCCAGAATCCCTGGATTCATCTCCCAGCTCACCAGGGTGTCTCGGCACGCCATTTGGGAATCACTGATAACAAACAGTTCATAGAAGTCATGCGTACAAGTGCAGGGAAAGTCCTAATGAGCTCTGCACTCCCTCTGCATGTGGACCGTATCCACCAACACAAAGTAACACCATGCCTCTGTGTCAGCAGCTTTACATCACCGTTAGAGAAAGCGCAGACGTGATGTCAGCTTCCAGAAAGGCACGGATGTGCCATAAAGATCAGCTCTGAGTCACGCTGCATGTAAAAATGCGTTCCTGTATTTAAGGCTGTAACACCTCACATATCTCTGTCTTCTCTGCAGGGCTCTTGCACATGCCAAATTCACAAAGTAAGTAACCGAGACGTGCTCCTGATAAATGAGGTGAACTCGAGCTTTCAAACAAACTGACCTTTGTGTCTTGATATTTCTGTCTCTAAACAGGGAGCTGAAATATGTCATTCAGAGGTTTGCAGAGGACCCTCGGCAGGAGGTGTGTGTGTGTGTGTGTTCAGGTTGATCTCTGCTTTAAGCCTAAGAAAGGAGAGTCACCCTGTATGTGTGCTTTCCAGGTCCACTCCTGCCTGCTCAGCGTGCGTTCAGGGAAAGATGGCTGGTTCCAGCTCTACAGTCCAGGAGGCGTGGCCTGTGATGACGACGGAGAGCTCTTTGCCAGTATGGTGAGTGTATGAACACACATGCACACACGTAAGCATCGACACAGTCATGCTGAACTGTAACGTGACCCACCTCCTGCTCTTCCTTCTATCCTCCAGGTTCATATCCTGATGGGCTCCTGCTATAAGACCAAGAAGTTCCTCCTCTCTCTGGCTGAAAATAAGCTGGGCCCCTGCATGCTGCTGGCCCTCCGTGGAAACCAAACCATGGTGGAGGTGGATGATCTTTCTACCTTATAACCATGAATTATGTCCTGCTCTCCTAAATATATACACATTTTGCAGTTGTGTGTCTTTTTGTGGATTCTTTGGGTCACTGTGGGGTGTTTCTACACTGCTCCGTGGTTGTTTTTATTCTAACCTTTTTGGTCTTATCGCATCACATCTCTGTAATTTATCACTTTCTGGTTGTACGTTTTCACATTTTGGTCATCCTGCTCATGTGGTGGACACTTTTGACCACATTTCTGAGGCCATTTTTTATCTCTTTGTTTTTGTTTGTGGTCATTTAGTGTCACCGCAGTAGTTTGTGTACAGATTTTATTTTAGTCTTTATCACTTTATAGATTTTCTGCATCACATTTGGTTTGTTGCTCCTCAGCCTCACTTTCCGGTCGTTTCCTCACTCTAGTAACTTTTTTTTTGGCCACACTGTGGCCATATCTGTCTCACTTTTAAGTCACTTTACCTCTTTATGTGGATGTTTCCAGTCTCGTTTTAATCATTTCTTCTTTTAAAATTAGTATTTATTGCTATATTGTCTTGTTTTTGTTCATTTCTCCACATCTCGCTTTCTGATCATTTCATTATTTTGGACATTTTGACTCTTTGCGGTTGTTTTGCATGGCATTTTGGTCATTTTATTCTCACCTTAGTCTCTGTTTAGTCCACCCATGTGCAGTTTGGGAGTTTATTATTACTATCTGGCATGGCTGTAGCTCAGGAGGTAGTTTAGGTCATTGACTAATTGGTGGTTCGATCACTGGCTGCTCCAGTCCGCATGCCAAAGTATCCTTGGACAACATGCTGGATGCCAAGCTGCTCTAAAAGGATTAATTGGAGGGTGAATGTGAGTCTTAGACATAGAAAAAAGTACTTGTGTGAATTTGTGAATGAGTCAGGTTGAGGTGATTAAGAGTAGAAAATCCATTTACCAACACTGGGCTGCACTACGTGTTGGTTTCATCGCATGTTCTGGTGTTTCAGTATATCAGCAGCTTTAACTTGTGCATGACATGTTTCCAGATCCTGTGTCTGATGCTGGAGTACAACATCATTGAAAATAAAGACACCCAGCTGCAGATCATCTCCACCCTGGAGAGCACCCAGGTGGGGCTCCGCATGTACGAGCAGCTCTGCGACCGACAGAGAGAGCTCAAAGAGCTGGTGAGTTCCAACTCCACCTCTCACTCCCATTATTTAGTAGGAGCGCCGAGGCCTGCAGCCGCTGCTGCCGGCGCACTGCTGCGGCGCACGGAAAAATAAAGTCACCAGCTTCTCATTACTGCAAATTCATGTGTCGTCAGTAACGCATGTGACCTGGCTGTAGATAATTGTCAGTCTGCAATTCTAACACACTGGTGATGGTTGTTGACAGTCTGAGAGGTCATGCACACATTAGGGACAAAAGGAAGACATAAGGTGCATTTACACGCATCCACATGTTAAATATTATGTGTATGAACACGTTTGGATATAAAATCCTGCCGTTTACTCTAAAAATCTTTGGAGGTTGTAGTTTTTTCCTTCCTTCAGAGCAGCAGCAGAGACGGGTGATGGAGAACCTGATGATAATAATAATGATAGCTAGAATCTGCAGAAAATACATGCATGTGAAACTGCCAGTGTGCTTACAATGTATGGTTGTCACACACTTTTCAAATTCACAGTAAAGTTTAGACTCTTGTACTCTTCTCCAATTATAAAAGTTTGTGTTTTTTAGTATATATTTGATATGAATGTCACTACATTTCCTGAGACGATTTACACAACGCACATTTTATATTTAAAAATCTGAAAAAGACGGCATGTTATGGAAGCAAAGCAGTCTAAATCTGTAAAATTAACAACTTTATATTAAAAAAAGCGTCTGCTTGTTACTGCTGCCATAGTTGTTAAAATAAGCGATAAAACAACACATTTATCTAATATTTGCTTAACATACGTCATTTACGCCGATATGTAGACTCCATTTATTTGCAATTCAAATAAACATGTCTCTATTCCATAACTTATCTCGCCTCCTATTTAAAAGGCCTTCCCAGTAACCAGCTGTTTTCTTTATCACACCAATACAGCGGTACACTGTTATCTCTCAATAAACTCGAAATGCAGTGTTACATAATTGAATAAAATGGATGTAAGGAGAGTTTGTGAGTGAAGGAGAGAGAATAGAGCTAAAACAAAATGCCGTTTAAGATTAAAACGTAATAATCTGTCTCCCAATTGATGACGCAGAACTGAATTTCATCAGCAGGTCATTACTGTGCAGGCCAAAATCTTGCCCCAGAAACACCACGTTTATGTTTTGTAGGAGAATAAGTTTTTATCAGTGGTTCTAACTGAAGCAGGATGGGAAGCATTTTTAAAGCATCTTATTACTGAAATTAAACACGAGGTGATCATAGACGTGCCTCAGTGGGAAACGCCTGCAGCTGCTCACACGTGCCATCTACTGTTAGCAACGATTCCTGCAAGGCCTCAAGCTCAGACGCCATCTTTCTTTCTATTTTCTCCTCAGCAAAGAAAAGGAGGCCCTACCCGGCTGACTCTGCCCTCCAAGTCCACGGTGAGATCACACTGCTGACACAGACACCGTCTTAGAAAAGAAGCAAAACTCTTGATTTGACTCTTACAATAACCTGTCATCACCTCTCTAGGATGCGGACCTGGCCCGCCTGCTCAGTTCAGGTTCTTTTGGGAACTTGGAGAACCTGAGCCTGGCTTTCACCAATGTCACCAGTGCCTGTGCTGAGCAGCTCATCAAGCTGCCTTCACTCAAACAGCTCAACCTCTGGTCCACACAGGTAAACGGACCCAACACAAACAGCTGCACAAGGAAATCATGACTGTCTATGAGTCTACAGATGCCTAACAGCTGCTCTTTCCTTGCTTTGTTCCATGCTTCAGTTTGGGGATGCAGGACTGAGGTTGTTATCCGAGCATCTGGCCTGCCTTCAGGTTCTGAACCTGTGTGAGACTCCCGTCACTGATGCTGGTCTCCTGGCGCTCAGTTGTAAGACATCTTGCATAGGAAGCATTTTTATGACACGGTGAATGTCCTTGATAGTGTGTGTGTCAACTCTAAGTGCAAATGTCTGTTTCAGCCATGAAGAGTCTGTGCAGTCTGAACATGAACAGCACCAAGCTCACAGCAGACACATACGAGGACCTCAAGGTAATTCAGTCAGTGTTAAAGGTTCTTTAAAGGTTCCTGCTGTTCTGTTTCTGTGTGGCACCTAATGCTAAATGAATGGAAAAAAGCACGCCTCGGGACCTTTATCGCTTTGAAGAGAGGTCTTATATCTGATGTCTACACAGATAAATTTTGAATGGACTGATAGATGCATATATATATTTTTTGTATTAATACAGTGAAAATAAATGGTTTTGACAAAGCCACCAACACCTGACCCCATGATGGCTAAACTGTGCTTAACTGACAGCTAAAGTCAATTTGATCATTTAACATTAAGCTGCACAATCCCTCGAGGCGGTCGAGGCAGTATCGTCACATAATAAAACTGAATCTGAGGAATATTTTGATTTTGATTCTTGGCTGAGCTTTTTAACCAGCTGCTTAAAGCTCTGCTTTTCCACTATGTAACTGCACCAGAAATTTCCATCCACTGTTTATTCTTCCTCTCACATGGAGTGCAGCTAGCGAGCAATAACAATGCTCGGAGGGGTCATTTGTTTACTTTTGGGCAGCACATCAGCAGCTGCTAGCATCTCCTCCTTGTGTGCCTTCATAGCCTGGCTGTACTCAGCAGTGTGTTTTTGTCACCAGTGGTGAAACGAGTTGTTTTCACCTTTTAGTAGGAACAGTTTTCTTGCCAGTGATTGTGATGCCGTGAAGGGTGTTTAGGTAGCTTAGTGTTTACGTGGCTCTTGCTCTTAGACATGTCTGGGCTTGCGTTGTTGTTGTGCATGCTAAGGAGCTTAAACACAGCTTTGTCGATGTTGCTGGCTCACCTTTATCACTGGGACTAATGCTAAAATATTGACAAACAGTAGTTGTTAAAATAGTTGGTGTACTACTTCCTGTTTCCGTGTTTCACAGCTCTCTGAGCTCAGCTGCACTTATCGCCATTAAAGACTGCTCTCTGCTGGTGTTTTTCATGCAACACATCAGTGCATCTGCATCAGTTGTTTGGTGCTTTAGTTAGTTATTGTATGCCCTCCACTGAATCTTTAAGCACAGTTATGAATGAAATCCCTCCCTGAGCCTGGTTCTGCTGGAGGTTTCTTCCTGTTAAAAGGGAGTTTTTCCTTCCCACTGTTGTCAAGTGCTTGCTCATAGGAGGGTTGTTTGATTGTTGGGATTTTTTCTTTATTATTGGGCCTTTATCTTATAATTTAAAGCGCCTGTTTGAATTTGTTGCTGTTTAAATAAAACTGATCTCAACTGAAGTGTATATTGTTTGTGTTCCTCTCCAGGCCAAACTGCCTAACCTGAAGGATGTTGATGTTCGGTACACTGAAGCATGGTGATCGGCCAAGCTTTCAGCAGCCCCTTTACATGCCGAGACACACACAAGCACGATCACACACAAACTCACACATTACATCGACGCCATCATTACACCAGGAACCCTAACATCACCCGGCCTGAGGATCACCCCGTCTGATTAGACGCTTGCTATGAGGAGGAGCCGTCACCAGTTTCATCACCGATCCCACAAAGTGACACCGTCACCGGGAAGGAACTTTGTGAAACTCATCGCTCCTCTTACCTCGAAGGCCCTTGTTGTTTTTTTGTTTTTTTACAAACGACATCAGAGAACGAGAGGACCCGATGTACTGAAATACTGGAACCCTGCTCTCTCTGTCCTTACCCTTTGCCTCGTCCTTTCATACGTAGTCTCTCAGTTTTCATAATCACTCTTGTTTTTTTCCCTCTCTGCGTGTGCACCTCATAATGAAATCCAGAATCGAGGAAGGCTCCACCTCCCCGGAGCCTCTCGCTGGCGTTTGCCCCTCATGGAACGAAGGCCGGACGCAGCAGCTCGCCTTCCAGTTCGTCTTTGATCCGATCCACGATGTAGCTCTCCCGACGGACGCGGTCAACTGTTATCGAGTCCTCGCTCTCTCTTTGCTGTCAGTTTTCGGGATCAAATTCCGGCCTTTTCCAATCTTTCACTGGGAAAATGAGGTGCTACCTCAGAGAAAAGAAGACTGTGCCTACTCCTCATGTACAACTCGCGAAAAGGAGAAAAAGAAAACAAAAACGGTTTTTATCAACTTGAATTAACATATTTTTCCAGACATCTGTGCTTTCATATATTGTGTCTTTCTATAGAAAACATAAGGAGATGCCCACCTCCCTCCCCATCACCTCCCCAACGATGACATTTTGGGAGCTTTGCAGGAATGTCAAGGGTGATGGCAATATTTGGTCCTTTTTAAATTGCCTTCAGTGTACGTGCTGAAGCTCTCCTGTTTCTATTTAATAGGACAGTTGTGTAGCAGTAGCTGGGTGGTCTGGGACTGACTGATATTTATAAGTTGTCTTTAAAACCTCTGACACATTGTCTTTCCTGGATTTCGTTGGGAGGTATCAAAGTACACAGCTTTTTGGGGTTTTTTGCATCGCATTATCCAAGAAGCCCTCGCAGGTCGCCGCCGCACATGGACGTCCATGTACCAAAGCCGCGGTGGCAAACTTCAGAGTGGACTTCTGAAATCGGACCTGTTTGAACCAGACCCATCACCAGCTGAGAGTTGTATATTTTCATATCCCCCTCTCGTTTTTGGTCCCCGCCGTGCAGGTGCTTTGGGATGCTTTTGAAGCAAAGAACTCGCCAAACGTCTTTCCTCTGCTTTGTTTTTTTTGAGGCAAACCTGAGCGTGGTGTCGCCCCCCTGATGCCGTTTGCCTCTCCGACCCCCTGTCCTGAGCGGAGGAGTCGCAGTGCCTCTAGCGGATGAGTCACTTGTCTTTTTACCTGTCCCACGACCTGTTTTGAATCACTCTGCTGTATTTATATTACGCCATATCACGTGGATGACATTTTTAGGCTAATTCTTATCAGAGGATGGGACAAAATTCTTGTACATATTCGATCACAATAAGGGACGAGTAATCGGGGAGGGTGGGGCACCTTCTATTTGCCTGTGTACATTCCCTCAAAGTGTTGCCTGTTTGTTGTGGCAGCGTTTCATACGATGTGGTAACTGCCCTGACACACTGCAAGTCTGTCAGGATCTATTCTCCCCGTGTGCGCGTGGTTTGGGCGGATTTGTCTTGGAAACTCAAGGCAAGCGCAACTGCATCCATCCATTTTATTTATTCGTGTCGACCTGGGCAACGCTCCAGATGCTTGTTGAATCAGAGGACAGGACGCCGTCCGCTACGAAGCGCTTTGTTTCCTATTTATTGGGTGCCACGACAGGTTTCTGTTTGGCCTGTAGGTGCGGTTTGTGTACGGCCATCTTCGGGTCTAGCTTTAGGACATCGTGCTCTTTTTCATATCCTGTATGATGTACATATGAGTGTATATAGTCGTCTCCTTCCTTTCTCTCTTTGAACCATTTTTGAATCCTCGCCCTTCTTCATCTCCTCTCTGTTTTTCTCTCAGCCTCCTTTTCTTCGGCAGGCTGTTGTTGCCTTCATCTTAATGTGTGTGGTTGTTTTTGTTTTGTTTTTCTTCTTTTCACACAAAGTGCTCTGTAATCTAAAAAAACTGTTTTCAATGTGTGTTATATTTTATGTTTCTCTCATTCGATCACTTTAATCAAACATTTGTTTCCGGTGTTTTTGTTGTTTAAGGTTTTTTGCACGTAAATGTTGCCGCGTCATCGAATATGTTTTTTCGTTATTTTGTAATTTTTGTTTTGTAAAAATACCATAAAGGGTTTGATCACTATCTCACCAGGCTGAGGACTGAAATGGAGAGATCCCATCCGGCTGTTTTGTGATTGGTCGTAGCCAGGATCTACCCACGAGCCTGCTGTTTGAGGCAGTTAAAGCTTTATTCATGTTGATTTTCTAAAACAGCCAATGACACTTGGCGCCTTTGGACTGAAGCCGAGATTTAATCATTTAAACGATGGCCATTTTTTATATCACGAGTCGTATCGTATGAGGATCACGCTGACTGTGGTCATATTAAATAAAGTTGGAGATTCCACACATCAGCGACCCGATGATTCAGTCTGATTTTACTGCAGTTGTTTTTATCCCCGATGGTTTTGAAGGATGAACGGTTTGACTCTATTTTAAGAGTGACATGAAGAATCCTGATACCAATATCACGTTTATCTGGTTGACGTGAAGCCACAGCCATCGGCTGCTTAGCTCAGCGTATCAGGAGAAATGGTTACCTTGACTTTATCGAAAGGTAAAATAGTCCTTCCAGTACAGAGTTTCAGATAATGAGGTATGTGCGAGTAATCCACGAGTTTCTTTTTTCTGGTCTAGGGTCTTTATGATGTCATGCTGGAGGAGGGAGGAGCTAAAACAGACTAGAAGGGTTTTCTCGCACTGCTTCCAAGGCACACAAAGGACGGGGGAAGAAGTCTAAATGGATCAGAACTCCAGCTACGCTATTATTTTAAACATCCTTGTTGCTAGACCAGTGTGCTTGTGGCCTTTATGGGGGTTTTTACAGGGTGTATGACTAATGCCATTAAAATAAGAAAGCAGAAAAACAAACATCACCTGGTGGTCTCCAGGTTGTGATGCAGCTTTTAGGCTACAAGCAACCTGCAACACAACACTGAGCTTCAGTGCAGCGTAGCATCGTTTTCCTCCAGAGACTGTACTAGTAGGGAAACTGGCTGAGGTAACGAGCTTGGCTGTAGCTTCACCCTTAATCCCAGAGGTAATTCATCAAACTTGGCATGAAAGCAGATGAGCCCATTTCCCACAGTGGGCTGTTTTGGGCCACGCTGACTTGTCCAAACTGTGAGCCTGGGGTCCAGCATGTTGAGATGATTATGTTTCTCTCTCTCTTTTTTTTTTTTAAGTGTTACTATAGAACGTGCTGGTTGAAAAGTACCGTCTCTCCTGTTCGGCCATGTCTCCTGTTTCCTGTGGAGCTCACTGAGCTTTCCTCCCCGTTCATCTGTCACCTTTTTTAAATAAGAAAAACATTTTTTTGTAAAGTTTCTACCACACCTGCGTCATGTACAGCTGTGCTCGAGTCTTAACCATTGTTATGGAAGGAACAGGGTCAGACAAACCTGACAGACTGAAAAAATGCAACTACTTCAACTTTATTTCCCATTCCTTGTAGTAAAATCATTTTGTTGGCAGCTGGAAAAGGGGCGCCCATCATGTTTCTCTCTCTTTTTCAGTCTTTCGGTCGCATTGATCTGCTTCTCCTGCCGAGTTATTATTATTATTGCTGCTGCTGCTGCTCTGTGGCTGTTGTAATAAAAATACAAAAGATCTTCAACAGGAAAATAACAACTATGATGTGAAATAATTTCAATCAAAAATAAATTGTCTGTGAATATGTTATCAACCGGGTGTGTTTTTTCTTTTCTTCATGTTATTATATCAGTGTAATGGGGGAAAAACATGAAGCTTTAGCTGTTAGTGAGAAAACAGAAGAAACACAAATGGTTTTGCAGGTGGACACGTTTCCCTCATCTTTTTGGACAGTTTCTTCTCATTTAGCTGGAGTCAGAGTCACTGCTGCTTGCATGAGATGATACCTGGACGCCACAGGTTTGCCAGAAGGCCATTTATTCTTCTCTGGTATATCTCTTCAGCCTTTTTCTCAGCGCTTGCAGCCTTTGTTTGGTAGCATCTAGAGCCTGTGTTATGGACAGCTTGCTGTACCTCATTTTGACACCCTTCTGCAACTCGCATCAACATCTTTCCAGCCTTTGTCTTCCTCTGCTTGCATCCTTGATCTTATACCCAAGTGGTTGTAGAGCAGTAGTGGTTTCAGTGATGCTGGTAGTGGAGATGGAGCACAGGGCAGTGTTGCAAACATCTCCTGTGTTGAGACGAGCTGGGGACTCGTTCTCTGTCTCGAGTCCAGCCACACGCTTCATGCTCAGTAGATGCATCTGTCATTGGTTTAGCTGCACTGCTCTTGTCTACCAGGGTTACAGGCTCATTACTTCCATATTTCTCCATGCTGTACTTCAGCCTATGAGTCTTCAGAGAAGCTGGAGATCCACAGGCTGAAGTATATTCCTTTATGGAATATGTTTTGTTAAAAATTGTAAGTGAGCAAACTTACAGGTAATTATTTCCCCAGTGTTTGATGGAGGACTTGCTCTTTTGTTCGAGGCCTCTCTACGCTCCTCACTTCAAGCGTTTGGCCTACTGCTGTCCCTGCAGCCTACTTTAAAATGCGGTGGAGCAGAAAACAATGCAATAAATACAGATAAAGAATGTCGTTCACCAAGCATACTTTATTGACTCGATTCATGAGGAAGTCAGAGGAATTCTGGGACAGCTATAACCACAATCTGCCTTCATATTAAATAGAGGAAACACTCACTGCATGAGATTACAGATCGGATTTCCATATCAAACAAACATTGAAGAAAAACGTCACACTGGTGAAACTGCACAGCAAAAAAACACAAAAAAACCACATTCAAAATGACTAAAATGAATTAAACACAAGCTCCCTGGCAGCAGAACAGCCACTGCAGTGAAATCGTCATTATTTCAGACTCCGCTCTTTAATGAAAAATAAATACCATCAGTGTAACACGATGCAGTTTGATAACAGACTGAATGCAAACATATCAAGCACAACGCTGGCTACTTGGACCGTTGTAACGGCCTCTTACATTTCCTCCAGCAATTCCATATTTCAAAAACTCCAAAACGTTAGGAACAATTTTTTTCCAATCTTAAATAAATAGAAAACCATTCGGGATACTGGAATGTTGCCATCTTCGGTGGAAAGATGGCAAAAAAAAAAGCTCTTCCAGATCACAGCTCCCATAGCAAACATTGATACTAGATTTGAAGCCTGCTGCTCACACAGGTTAGACAAATGAGTCCTCAGGAGTAAAATTTACTGTTGTTTATCTTCTTTTCTTTTGACCTGGAGAGAAAGACGGACAGATTGAGAGCAGAGAGTAACAAGTATCACAAATTAGTTGTCATATATTACAGTATATGTACATATTGCAGTATGCACCATGAAATGCAAATTAGATAATCCACCAGAAAGCTGTTTTATGGATGGAATTTCCTAATCAGTTTATTCTGAGCTCGCCACTGAAATTTGGAAGCTGTGGCAGCCTAAGGACCTCAACTGAAGTGAAGCAGGCCATCCGCTGACGGCAATGAAATTAGTCTGATAGATAGGCGGGATGTTAGCGGCAGCAAAATCAACCAAAATATCACTAAGCTTGGCAAAAGACCCGAAGACGACAGCAGCGGACGAACGGGGTCCTTTCCGTGAATAGACTGTCGCTGCTAGAGTATTCCTGCACTTTTCAGACTTACCTTGGATTTTCACCAGTGCTGCCCTTCCTCATGAGGTTGTTGGTGGGCTGAGCCAGGGAGGATCGCTGAAGGTTGCTGTGTGTGTCGTACAGGAAGGGTTCGCCCAGCTCTGCCTGCTTCTTCTTCAGCTGGCTGGAAGACGAGTACAGCTCCTCCTCCGCTTTCTGAACGATACGTGCCGAGTCAGCAGATCACAGAAATCCCGCCACAGTGACATAAACGTCGATGCGCTCCTGGTGCGTTACTCACCCCGGCCTGCTGCACACTGATGTAGACCAGAAGAGAAGCTAGCTCCAAGTCTTCACTGTAGCCGTTCTTCAGAGGGACAGAGCGGTAACCTGTGGAAGCAAACCCAAAACAGTTCATTTCCTTCATTTATTCACATCACCTTGATTTGTGTTATAACCTGATTCATTCGTGTTCATTTCGACTTTTAAAATCACTTCTAAAAATTACATTTTTTTTAATCTTAAGCAGTAACGATGGACCTAGTTTAGTTTTTACAGAAATACAAAAAAACCGTTGTTTTCAACGTGACTGTGTGAGTTGTGTTCCCTCTAAACTTAAAAAGTCTTAAAATGAGTCACAACCTAATTTCACTTCCAAATGAGGTCACTTCAGTGTGTGGTGTCAGTCTTTTGTGGAATTTCAAAATACTAAAGCCTGCTAAAATTAGATATTAAAGCTGCGTCACACTCAGAGTGGAAACTCCCCGATTACCAAGAATCTAAAAGTTTACATTAAAGTTTGGCCAGGATACAAGAGACATGAGCTAGCCACTGTCTAACATTACTTAAATATCAAATGATTCAGGATTGTTTCACCTCTTTCATTATTTATAATTTGAGACGTGGAGTGTCTCTTCTTATTAAAATATGAGCCCCATACAAAAAGTTAATACAGCAAAAGCGAGCACACCTGTGAGAAAACTGGTGAACAAGGAAATTAACTTGAGCTCCACATGATATAGTTCTCAGGTGAAAGTATTCTCAGTGTGCATTAAATCTTGCTTCTAAGTAACATTCAGTTCATGCAATAATGCTAACGAGCACTACCTGAGAGTGACGGTAACAGAAGCTGCGTGTATGAATTCCCACCTGAGCGAAGGCCTTTCACAGGAAACGTGGCCTGAGCTAGAAAGTTGGGGTCTGAGAACATGTCCTCCTCGTTGACGATGAAGCGCAGGAAGGTGAGTTCAGGCTCATACACACTCAAGATTATGCGCTCTGAGCCTTTCCACACTGGGTTCAGACCATTGTCACCTGCAGGGGGCAGAAACGAGCAAAGCTTTAACCTGTGAAGCCTCAAGTCCCCATTAAATTAAAAGTCCCCAGAACCTCAAGCTGAAAAGAATAAAAGTTCCCGCAGAATTGCAGCTAAGGCCGAAGCTGCTCGAGCTCTGACTATTTTAAGGTTTTTCATTATTATTATTATATTTTGTGATGGACGACTTCTCCCGGGTCGTCCCGCCTTTTGCCCTGTGAGAGGTGGGACAGGCTCCAGCCCCCCACGTCCCACAATTTTTCCACTGTGAGATCGAAAGCCCCACAAAGACGAGGCAAATCTCAGTGTTGATATAGATACACAACAAACACAACCTTATTACAATTTTACCATCGATCTTCTTTCAAATCTCTAATTCCTGCAGAAAGCGTTGAAACAACGAACACAAGCTACATTTTTAATAGTTAGAGAAAAACTAGATGAAACAGAGGAAAATAGAAAGGTTGCTGGAGAATCTCCTTACGATAGACGATGGTCTTGTACTTCTCCTCTGTGTGCCCGCACAGCTCGATCTCCACAAATGGACTGGCGATGCTGCGGCCTGGCTTCGGAAGGTGCCTGGCACCAATCACCTGCAAGGGACGAACACAACTGCTCTTATTCTCTGCACACAATCAGGCCCAAAGTGCATTTTTGTACATAAGTGGACCCTGAACGTGACTCATAATCATGACAGAGGCACAGAGAGTGTGTGTGCGTGTGGCGGCACACCTTGACCACAATTTTGTATTTGACTTCCTTCTTGTCCTGATGAGGGTCGTAGCTATCCATACGCATGAACTCCGGCTGCAGCACGTAGCCCGTTTGTCCGTTCAGACTGAAGAGGGCGTTGTTCAGCTGCATGTATTTATCTGGGTGGACACAAGAACCTGAATAACTTCACAGTGTCACTTCTCCTTCAGGCAAATCCTGATAATTTTCTAACAGGTAGACTCGATAGTGTAACCTGTGTTATTTTTTCAGCTGGAGTAGACAGATATCCCCCAAAGACATGACAGACAACATAAAGAGGGCAGTTTGAGTTTAGCTTTAGTGCAGAGTGATGCACTGGCAACCCATCAGCATATCTTTAAATATCAGGACATAATAAAATGACCTGGTCCTCAGTAGGCCTTAAAATGAGGTAAATGTAACTTTAAATGAATCCCAACACGTGACACGTTGCACTGTGCCATTATTTATTGAACAAAAACTAAGACAAGGTGCTGACGTAACGTGTGAAAAACGTTGAACTCCTTGAACGCCTTTCATGTATTCTGGAGTCAGATGTGAGCCCATCAGTCCCACAGCCCGACTGAGATGCTGTGGACAAACGAACTGAAGCAACACTGTAATGAAGAGCAGGCCAACATGTTTGTTAACCTCACACAGAGAACAGGTATTTGAAAGACTGCACAGGCTACAGAACCATGGGGTGGACGCACTGCTTCTGCATGTTGGTTTAGCCCTAGTTAACTAAATAATGACACAGCGTCAGGTGTTGTTGTTCATCTCAGCTCATACGAACCCAAATGTACGACCTGCTAAAGACTAGATTTTTTTTAAACTTTGTCCTGACACTTAAATTCTTAGTAATGTACAGATAGTGTATTTTCTCTTTACCGTGACTGTAACTAAGCTCAAAAGACAAAGACATAGTGTCTCTAAACACATAATATATGGGTTTATAAAGCTATTCATAGCCAAAATACTACATATAAGTGGAGTAATATACTGAAATAAGCTTTCAGATACTACAAATAGAAGATTTCTTGTATT